CAAAGGAGGGGGGGGAGCGGCGCGGGGGCGGCGGGGCTGGGGAGGGGAGGGGCTGGGCGGCGGGGAGCACCCCTGCACCGTGGGGTGATGCTGGGGCGAGCAGCACGGAGAGGGGCCAGCACAGAGATGGGTGGCCCCGGGAGGGTCCTGCCAGCCCAGGGCTGCTCCAGCAGCATCGAGCCCAGGGCAAAGGTTCGGGGGCAGCTCACGAGGTCCTGGCATCTGCGGGCAGCCCGAGCTGGAGGGGCCGCAGTTTGGGGGGCAGGCAGCCAGGCAGGTGTTTGGGCAGATGGTACCCAGGCAGGCAGGGGAGGGATAGGCAGGATGTTTGTTTTCTTCTGTCAACACTTCCTCATACATCGGATGAAGCAAGCGATGGGCTTGGCTCGCCGCAAGCCAGGCGGCATCTTCCATGCCCTGGTGCTCTGACCGGCCGGGAGGAGCATGCAGGATCAGGCCTCCCCGGCACCACAGAGCACCGGGCACTGCTGTTTGGAGAAGGGGCTGTCACAGGGCAGCGAGGTCTCGGGGAGTGGGCACAGGAGCTCCCTGCTTGCTCCCTCCTGCCCTTGGGGCTCCGAGCACAGCCCGGCTTTGCAGATAGATGCCCACGCGCTCCGGAGGTGCCTTTCCCCAGATCCCGGCAGCTCCGGCTTCTCTTGACCCCAGTCTCCCAGGCCTGCACCGTGCCGGGGCCTGGCTGCCAGCAGACACTGGTGGGTAGGCTTCGGCCCAGGTCACGGCTAACCACGGCCCCACGCAGCATGTTTGCCCAGCGAGCTGCCTGCAGCACCGGGGTGGCCGTCCCTCCCCCTCCTCCTGCCACCACACGCGAGGAACGTCTCCCCGTGGTGACGAATCCAGCTGAATCCGGGCGCAGGCTGCGATGCAGTCAGTCACCAAGGGAGATTGTACCACGTGCATCCCCGCAGCCGCGGGGAATGGGGACCAGGGCTTCTCTACTAGGTTCCCCGCAGCCCCCCGGCCTTGGCCCCGCTCTGCAGGGGGTCTGGCAGTGCTTGGGTGGGATGGAAAGCACCCCTTGGACATGGCCCTGTGCAGATCCACTTGCAAAGGGGTGCCCGGCTGCCCCCGAGGGATGCGCATGGGAGTCACAGTGCTCCCCAGCGGGGAGGCAGGCATGGCACCCTTGGGTGCGGCTGAGGAGAGGGGAGCTGAGACTGGCAGAGCCCAGAGCAGGGCTGATGCTGGTGGATGTCCCCCAGCTGGCTTGTGAGGCCGTGGCCCCAGGGCCGTGCCCCGGGGGCGGCAGCCTGCCCTGGGAGCAGCCCAATCCTGCCCCAGCCTGGCGCTGCCCTCCCAACGCTGATCATTAACCACCCTTATCGGGTGGTGGGTTCAATGACCCACGTGGGGCCTGTTGTCCCCAGGTTGGGCAGAGCATGGCTGGGGCCCTGCTGGAAGCATTCGTGGGGCTTGGACCTTCCAACAGCCGCTGCAGTGGCCCTGCATCTCAGCAGAGCCCTCTGCTTGGCAGTTTTCCCTGTCCCTGCTGTCCCCACTGTCCCTTCTTGGTCTGGCCTCCCCAAAAGACCCACCAGGCCCTCCGTGCATCTCTGGGGTGGGTGAGGGATGTGTCAGCCCGTGCCGGGAGTTGGTGCCTGGTGTGCCTAGGGCTGGCACAGGCCATGTGCCTGGAGACACCAGCCCAAGCCATCTGCAGAGCGTTTCAAGGATGGTTCCAGCTTTGAGGGGTCAGAGACGGGTGCTTGGGCCCAGCTGGTGCTGAGGGGCCCCTGGGATGGGTGCAGAGCATGCTGGACACATGCAGGGCAGGGAGGGACTGATCCAGCCCCAGTGCTACCCCTGTCCCGTTCACCCTGCTGTGCTCTGGTGCATCGCAGGTGATGTCCCGGCGCATTTACGGTCCCATCTGGAAGTCGACCTTTGGGCATTATGAGAACATCAACATTGGGAGCCCGGTGGTGCTGGAGCAGCTGCTACGGCAGGAGGGCAAGTACCCCATGCGGAGCGACATGGCCCTGTGGAAGGAGCACCGGGACACCCGGCGCCTGCCCTACGGACCCTTCACCGAGTGAGTCCTGCCCTGGCTGCACTCTGCAGGGTGGCAGGTGGCTCCTGTCCCTTCCTCGGGTGTAGGGTCTGGGTGGCAGCTCGCATTGCTCCCTCTCCTGCAAGCAGCGTGTCCCCCCCCAGGCAGAAGGGCATGGCCATGAGGGGAGGAAAGACCCCTGGGGTGGTTCCAGCCTGGCATTGGGAAGATGTTCCCGGGGATTGGGAAGTTGCTGCCAGCCACTGCCCCTTGCCCAGCCGTGCCCCCGGCGCTGAGTCCCATCCCCATGCAGGGAAGGGGAGCGCTGGTACCGCCTGCGCCAGGTCCTCAACAAGCGGCTGCTGAAGCCCTCGGAGGCGGTACTGTATGCGGACGCCATCGGCGAGGTGGTGTCGGACCTGATGGTGCGGCTGCGGGATGAGCGGAGCCGCAGCCCCTCGGGCGTGCTGGTGGGGGACGTGGCCAACCTGCTCTATCGCTTCGCCCTGGAAGGTAGGGGGGTCCTCCCCCTCGCCCCTGCCCTGCCCCACTCTTCCCATCCCCACGGGGGTCTGGATGCGGCCTGTCCCCCGCAGGGATCTCCTATATCCTCTTTGAGACCCGCATCGGGTGCCTGAAGCAGCAGGTCCCCGCCGAGACCCAGCGCTTTATCGACTCCATCAACCTCATGTTCAAGAACTCCATCTTCGCCACCGTCCTGCCCCGATGGAGCCGCAAGGTGCTACCCTTCTGGGACCGCTACCTGGACAGCTGGGACACCATCTTCGCCTTCGGTGAGCGGTGACGATGGGGGCCTGGCGTGGTGCGATCGGACCCCCTAAGGACCCTCACATGTGGAGCAGTCCCCATCCATGTGTCCTTTTGGCTGGTCTCGCTCCGTCAGCGCTGGGTCCTGCTCTCTGTCCCTGCAGGCAAGACCCTCATTGACCGAAAGATGGAGGAGCTGGAGGGGCAGGTGGAGCGGGGCAAGGAGGTGTCCGGCTACCTGAGCTACCTGCTGGCCAGCGGCAGGCTCAGCCTGGACGAGGTCTATGGCAGCGTGGCCGAGCTGCTGCTGGCCGGCGTGGACACGGTGAGAGCTGGGCAGCCGCCGCCAGGGGATCCCTGCTGGGCTCTGTGCTGGGGAAGCCACGGGGTCATGCTCAGGCATGTTCCCCAGCCCCTGTGAGCTCTGGGCTGGTGGGCTGGGGGCAGCTGATACCCCTTAGGGGCAAACCCTCAGGAATCAGTCAGTACAGGCCCTGTCCTCCACTCTGCCCCCTGCCCTGCTCCCTGCCTCATCTTCCCCTGTGCTTGCTGCTCCTCATCCCCTGTTTCCCTGTGCACCAGAGCAGGGGCTGTCTGATGCTGTACTGGTGTCACGCTTGGCACAAGGCTGCTTGGGTACCAACCCCATCTCCCTCACTCCCCTCCATGCTCTCCTTCCCCAGACTTCCAACACGCTGTCCTGGGCCCTTTACCACCTCTCCCGGGACGCAGGCATCCAGGAGACCCTGTACCAGGAGCTGAAAGCTGTTGTGCCCGCTGACCGGTTTCCCGGTGCTGAGGATATCCCCAAGATGCCGATGCTTCGGGCTGTTATCAAGGAGACGCTGAGGTACAGCCCAGCCTTGCCCCTGCCCCAGGGTCCCTGTCAACAGCCCCTTCCCCAGGCCAGGGGCAGCCCCTTCTCCCCCCACATCAGGGATGCACCAGCCGGGGTGGCTGGTGACGGGGGACATGGAGGCACGGGCCAGGCAGGGTGCAGGGCTGGATTTCAGTCCCTCAGGGCCGCATCCATCCACCTCCTCCCTGGGGAGGGGGACGGAGCTGCTGAGCAGCAGGAGATGCTCCCCCTTGTCCTGCCTGTGGCTCTCTCCCACGGGGGTCCTCAGATGGGTCCTGCTCCCCTATAAACTCTCCCTGTATCCCAGGGTCTACCCCGTGGTGCCCACCAACGCCAGGGTCTTCTATGAGAAGGACATTGTCATCGGAGACTACCTCTTCCCCAAGAACGTGAGTGGGGGCTGTGCCATGGGGACCCCTGCTGCGCTCAGTGGGGCCAGGTGGGGGTCATTAAGCCCCCCCTTCTTGCCCCGCAGACCCTCTTCGTCCTGGCGCACTACGCAATGTCCCACGATGAGACCTACTTCCCTGAGCCCGAGCGGTTCCTGCCCCAGCGCTGGCTCCGGGGCCACGGCTCCCCCCACCACCCCTTCAGCTCCATCCCCTTTGGCTACGGGGTCCGCGCCTGTGTTGGCCGCCGCATCGCCGAGCTGGAGATGCACCTGGCCCTCGCCAGGGTGAGTAGGGACCCCCCACCCCGGGCAACTCACTGTGAGCTGGGATGGGGGCCCCAGGGAGTCCCCTAGGCACTGCCACCCCCCCTCTCCCCACAGATCATCCAGGCATTCGAGGTGCGGCCGGACCCCCGCGGCGTGGAGGTGACATCTGTGTCCCGCATCGTCCTGGTGGCCGACAAGCCCATCAACCTGGAGTTCATCGCTCGCCCGGGGGCCCCGGGGGCCCCCTGACTGCGTGCCAACACCCCCCCCCCTCCACTGGGTGCCAAGCAGGGACCCCCGCTGCCCCACGAGGAGGGGCAGGAAGGCAAACCCACCCCAGCACCCACCCCCTGCCCGACTTGGGCTGGGGGGCTCCCAGCCCCACTGTGGGGAAGGTAGGGGGGGATGAGAGATGCCTCCAAATCGCCCCTGGGGCACTCATGTCCCCCTACCGCAAATGAGCAGGAGGCTTGGGGAACTGCTGTGCCTTTCACATGCCACGAGGGGTTGTGTCCCCCCATCCCGTGTCCAGCTGGGCTGCGTCGGGGACCTGGGAGCTCTGCCGGGGTTGGGGGGGGGATGCGGGGAGGGGGCTTGCAGCCGTTCGATGTCTCCTTCGTCCCGTCCTTGTGTAGCTGCGCGTGGATCTGTGCCTGGAGCCAGGACATCTGGGTCCTCTCTGAACAGCTGACCTTGGCCTCAGCCGCTTCTCCGTGCCTCAGTTTCCCCCCTGCCTCCCTGGGAAGGGTCGAGCTGCTGGTGGGGCTTTGGGGTTTGCACCTGGTCCCGAGGGATGGAGCCAGCCCTGGCCCGGGGCAGGCAGAGCAATAACACAGTATGTCCCCCCGAGGGGGAGGGGACCTGTCACCACCCGGCGCTCGAACCGTGTCCCCTGGCAGAGCCAGCCAGCACATGGTGGGTGTGGAGCAGCCGGGACCTTTCGCTATCAGTGGTTATTTCACCGAGATGCTGATATGAAGGCACGGAAACAGGGGCAGGACTTGCTCTGAGCAAAGCAGCCAGGAGAGGATCGGTTCAGCTCCGCCAGTCCCCAAGAGGGGACATGGGGCTGACACCCAGGGCCATCGCAGGGGCTCAGAGCTGGCACCAGCCATAGGCAGGGCATATGTTGCCGCTTGCCTGGGCTCCTGGAGGGCTGGGGTACAGGGCACCCCCATGGTGAACCCTCCTCACCTTCCTGCTGCTGGGGAGCCCAGCTGGACTGGGGGGGTGCAGCAGGCAGAAACCTTGCTGGCACCAAGGCTGCCATCCCCAGGGTGGCCCCGAGGGGACCCGTAAACCGCTGCCACGGTGGAGCCATCAAGGGTACATGACCTGCGGTGAGCCAATGTCCCCGTCCCCCTGGCTCTACCCACACGGGCAGAGGTGCCACCCTCTGCCCACACCACCCTCACTGCAGCGGGTCCCTGTGAGCATCCCAGGCTGGGTGCCCCAGCCCTGCCGAGCAGCTGGCAGCCCTTCCCCAGCCTGGCTCCTCTCTGGAGGAGCCATGCCCGGCTGCACCCCAGAAAGGCGAGGCGGCAGTGCCTGGAGCAGGCTGCTTTATTACAACAAGGCTGAACAGACCAGCAAATAAATAAATACCCCCTGCCCACCCCAAAATGTGCACAGAGTCCCCGTGCAAGTGCCTGTCCTGGCACCAGCTCCGGCACAGGCTGCGCCTCTGCCAAGGAGCTCCAGCCCCGTGTGACCCTACAATAAACAAGCCTGTGTGTGCAGCTGAGCCTACGATACCAGGCAGTCGGTGCAGCCGGCGGGACCGTGCTCACCCAGAGGGGAGCCGTGGCCTAAGCGCTCAAATCCAGCAGCAGGATGGGAGCAGGGTGGCCGAGGCCCCCAGGGCTGTGCAGGGCCATGCGGGTCCCCATGCCCAGCTGTGGGCATGGCACGGCTCCTCGCGGCATGGTGCCCATTGAGCATTATCGCGTGCTTGCTGGCGGGAGGCACCCCTGGGCCCCCTTTTCCCCACTCCCTGCCTCCCCAAGGCTGGCAGAATCTGGCCCCAGACTCAAGACGAGCCCCAGGACCAGGGTGGGCAAGCAGGACCTCCCCGTGGAGAGCCTCCAGGCCTGAGCCTCCTTCCATGGCCCCAGGGCCACACAAGAGACCCCCCAAGTCGCACGAGTTGACAACATTTCCCTGGTGTCTTCAGAGTGAGGATCGGTCGATGCCTGTGGGGTGAAAGAGCATGTGAGCCCATAACCCCCCGGAGGGCACCGGTGCTGGGCTGGGCACCCTGCGGCACGGCACTCCAACTTGCCCTGGTAGCCACGGGGACAGCAGGATCTTGCCTCCTCCCTGGCTTGGATGCAAGCCCCAGCAGCTCCTGGCACAGCCACCCGCCCTGGGCACCAGGGATGGGGAAATGGAGGGGTCCCATGTCTGGTGTGGTTAACACACACCACTCCCGGTCCCCTTCTGTGCAGAGCAACTGGGCACTGCTGGGGGAACTGGTGGGCATGGGGCTGTCCCAAGCCCATTCCCCAGCACCACCCCAAGAAACCATCATTACCTTTGGGAAGCAGCTGGGCACCAGGGGCCAGCTCCCCCTCCCCAGTTCACCCCTAACGGGTGCCACAGTGGGTGCCAGCGCTGTGCCCACCCATCGCCAGCGAGGACTCACCAGGCAGTGGGCGAGCGGAGCCAGGTGCAGGCGGCCAGGCAGTGCGGTCCCAGCGCAGCCTGGGAGTGAGCCCCATCCCTGGAGCAAGCAGTTTCGGGGCTCTGCCAGCCATGGCCCGTGGGTCGGCCACGCTGTGCCCATGGCTAGTGGTGGGCAGCATGTCCGGGGTGCGCGAGCAGGGGTCTGTCCCCTCTGTGTCCCCCAGGAATGGCACTGGAGGGGCTCAGGTCTCAGGGGGGCCTTTGAGGCAAGGTCAAAAAAGGACTTTTGTCTTGGGGTGCATCACACCCCAAAACCCTCGTCCAGCCCAAAGCCCAGGGACCTGCAAAACCTGCATCCCACATGCTGCCTGGATGGGCATCTGGGGGTGTCTCCATGGCAGGTGCCCCCATCCTTCCTCGCACACACCAGGGATCAGGATCCCAGAAGGGATCCCCTGTGATCCTTGTGTCCCTGGGAACAAGCAGCATCTGGGTCCTGCCGTCCTGACCTGGGCACCCAGCGCTGCCGGACCCCAGCCCCAGCCTCCTCGGTCCCCCAGGGCTGGCTTGGCTGGGGTGGAGGCGGGTGGCCCGAGCAGGGAGGTGACAAGGTGTGGGTGACCCAGCAGCAGGGAGGGGACAGGCGCGCAGTGGCGGGGGACGGCGCCTACCTGAAGTGGAGAGAAATGGAGGGTGCAAGTGGAGAAAGACGGAAAGAGTTAAGAGCATCGATACCTGCGGGAGTGAGCACAAGGGCCTGGAGGATGTCGGAGAGGGAGACGATGCCCCGCGGGTACTGGTTCTCATCCACCAGAACCAGGCGATGGACCTGTGGGCGCAGGCAGAGCATAACAGGCAGGTCGGGCAGTGGGCAGGGGAGGTTGGTGCTGGTGCGAGGCACCCCAGCCACTCACCTGCTCCTTGGCGATGCGGTCGATGATGTCCTCCATGGTTTCGTGGGGGTAGCAGGTGAGGACCCCCTCCAGGCAGGTGGTGCGCTGCCGCAGCGCCTCCCGCACGCTGATGTCCAGGTTGTTGTAGGTCTTCTGGGCTGCCAGGTGCTGCAGGAGAGGTGGCCCCACTCAGCACCCAAACATGTCCTCACAGCCCGTTGCGCTGGCAGCGAGGGGGACACCGAGCCCCGATGACACACAGGGCAGATCTGCACTGGCATACGCATCGGTGTGCATGGGTGGGTTTGCACGGATATAGGCATGTGTGAGCAGTGTGTGAGGGGCCACACTCGTGCCCAGGCGTGCAAACACGCAGGGTACTCACAATGACGTCAAACCGGGAGTAGAGGCCGACCACTTGCCCTGCAAGGAGAGACAGCGCAGGGGCTGGGGAGGGGGCCCTGAGGACCACCTGCCATGCTCTGCCTGCACGCCAGGACCCAGGCTGGTGGGAAGGGGGGTTTTGGGGTGAGGATGGGGCTGGAGCCACTGGCAGAGGGAGATGGGGGAGTCGCTGGTCCCCTCCCCAGGTACCAGCATCGTTGATGACGGGCAAGGCGGAGACACGGCGGTCCACGAAGATCTCCAGAGCGGCATAGACAGGGGCGGTCTCAGGCACGACGGCCACGTCGCGGAAGGTGCCAACACACAACTCCTGCACTGTTTTCTTCAGAAAGCGCGGCTTGGGGATGGTGGAGCCCTGCAGTGGGGCAGGGCAGGGCAGGGCTGGGCTGGTACCTACATGCACCCCAACACCCTTGCTTGTGCCCCTACACACCCACCGTGTGCATGCACACAGCCCCAGCACTCACAAAGATGTGGAGGAACTTGAGGATGCGCTTGTGCGTCAGGATGTGCAGGACGTTGCCCGAGACGGGCTCGATGACGGGCAGGCGGTGGATCTTGTGCTTGATCAGGGAGTAGACGGCGTCGAAGAGGCTGCGGGTGACGGGGACACCGTGGGGGGAGGATAGGGCTGCATCCCAGGCACACCCCCCGTGGGGTGTGCTCTCCCCCAGCGGGCAGGCGCTCACCTATTGCTCGGGGAGATGTAGACCAGTGGTTTGAAGGAGCCCTGCAGGTACACCTCTGCCAAGGGAGAGAGGTGGGAGAGGGGGTCCCCCAGCCCCCTCACGTGCAGCCCTGCACCCCTGGAGCCCACCTCCATGCCCTACGCAACATCCCCAGCCCAGCCACCCCCATCACCCCCTAATTTTTTACCTCGCCAGGTCTCAATCTTGTGCTCCTCCACCTCGTAGATCTGAACCTGAAGGCAGGGAGATGCCCTGGTCATGGTGGCCTCACAGGGGACCGAGGGGGCTCTGGGGCACTGCCCCCTTCTCTGGGCATCCCACCCCATCACCCTGAGCACGGGGATCACATCTTGGGTGCCGGGCAGAGGGGCACCAAGTGGACACTGGGCTGGCCCAGAGCATCCCAGTCATGGTGTAGTGATGAAGAGAGGACCAGGGGAGGTGCGGACGGCCCCTCCCTGCCCCATTGCCTACCCCGACCCCTGTGCCCTTCCCGCCGCACTCACCAGGGGCGAGCGGTAGTAACGGTGGAGGATGTTGATGAAGTCGGTGATGGTGAGCATCCCTGCGGAGACACGTGGGGCTGGCAGCGCTGCCCGCGCCCCTCGCTGCCAGGCAGGGGAAGGGGCCGGGCAGCGCTGCCGGCACTCACCCACAAAGCTCTGTGTCTTGCTGTCCCAGAGCGGGGCGGCACGCACCCCGTTGGCCACCAGTGCCACGAAGGCTTTCTTGATCTGCCGGTGGAGTGGGGAGGGGGTCAGGGGGTCCCTGAGCCTGCTCCCCTCCCTGCATGTCCCCGCTGATCGCCCACTTTGTCACCTCCAGGGAGATGTCGAAGACTACGAGCTTGCAGCTGGTGGGGACGGCGTCGTAGCAGCAGTGGCTCCTCATGAAGTGCATGTAGACCTCGGCGTCAGGGCTCTGAAACTCAGTCTCCGGGCCCAGCCCCAGTATCTCATTGCCCAGCGTGAAGGTGACGGGTCTCCGCCTGTCCTCTTCCTCCTCCTCTTCCTCCCCCTCCTCCCTGGGGCACGGGGCCCCCAGGAACCCTGCAGGCAAACCCACCCCAGCCCTGGCCGGTGAGCTGAGCTGCCAGGTCTCAGCACCCTCCTGCCTGGGGGGAGTGGGGGGATGCTGCAGGAGGGGGTGCTCCCCACAGACCCCCCCCGGTTCCCCCCTCCACAGGGGCAGCACACAGCGCTGCAGCTTTCCAGCCTGGGGGCACCGGGAGCTGCTGGGAAGGAGCTGAGGAGTCAGGCGAGGAGGGGTATGGGCAGAGGACCAATGCGCTCATTGCATGAGTGAGCCAGCCACCCCCTCCTACACACCTAGGCGCTGCCTGCTACCCACCTTCCTCCTCGGGGCCGGCAGCGGCATCCAGCAACGCCACCTGAGGGGGCACACAGCGAGAATGGGGGTCAGCAGGAGCCAGCCCGGCCTCTCCCCCACCCATGGGTGCTGCCTGCACCCACCTGGCTGCCCCGGCCCCCCCCAAGCCGGGCAGAGGGGACCGTCCTTTCGGGGTGGGGATGCGAGCCCACCCAGGACCCCCAGAGCCTGCTGCCCCCGTGGTGGCTCCAGCCCAGGACTCTCAGTTTGTGCCCTGACTCTGGGGAGGGCAGTGGGGTCCCCGGGTCAGGGCAGGGGATGGCAGCACCCCCTGGCTCCTCTTTCCGCTGTCGGAGCTGAGCGCGTCCCGCAGCTGCTCGGTGCCCGTCCTCTCCCTTCTCCTACCCCAAGGTGTAAATCCCGGTCCTGCTTCCTCCCGTGCCGGGAGCCCCGCCAGCCCCACCTGCCCCCCAGGGACCAGGTCTGCCCGGGGAGGCCCTACAATAACAAGGGGGGCAACCCCAGGCGGGAGGGAGACGAGCACAGCCGGCCGGCTGACCCGGTGCCCCCTGGTCCCCAGGAGACCCTACCACAACAAAGCAGCACGCGCGGCAGGAGGAGCAACCCCGGACCACAAACCTGCTGGCAGAGCCAATGTTTTTCAGCCACCCTACAATAACAAAGGCACAGGGACTGCTCCCTAAAGAGCCCAGAGCCGACCCCAGGAAGGAGGCGACCCTGTGCCAATGTCCCCCAACCCTCCCCAGGGGGCTGGGGACAGCCAGGGCGGGCAGGCAGGCCAGGCTGTGCCCCGTGTCCTTGTCCCCATGGCTGCCTGGCCATGGGAAGGGGGTCACCAGCCCCCCACGCCCCCCACCCCACCCCGGGGCTGGCTTGGCCCCAGGAGCGGGGCCGTCGGGGCGCCCCCACCGCCACCGCGGGGGGGGACACACCGCCGCCACCACCGCGCAGCGCCCGCAGACACCGGGCCACCCCCCGACCCCGCAGCTGGAGGGGGTGGCCGTGGGCCCGGGGAACAGCCCTGGGGGTGTGAGGGAGGGGGTGATGGAGAGATGGCTGGGGGCAGAAAGCCTGTCCCCCAACCCTGCGGACCCCCGTTCTCCAGGATCGGTGCTCAGCACCTACCAGGTTGCAGCCTGCCCGCCTGGGTGCTGCCCGTCCTGCAGCAGGAGCAGGTGGGGGGCACAGCATCCCCCCCTGCCCCGGGGATGCTGGAGGAGCACTGGATCCGTCCCCAGGCTGGGCAGCAGCCAGAGCAGCTGGGGACCCTTTTCCCACTGTGCTGCCATGGCCCTGCCTGCCCCTGCCCAGGGTCGTGCTGCAGTTCAGCCATCCCCGGCCACCCCGGCTCTCACAGCGGGGGCACCCCGCGCCTGCCGGGGAACCTCCTGCCTCTCCCACAGGGCCACCCGCTCCTGCCCACCCTCTGCTCGCTCCCGGCTCCATTGCTATTTCAGGAAGGTTCATATAACCCCTTGGCGGGCTGCCGTGCCAGCCCAGGAGCAGCCGTGGGCGAGCGGACTATGAGCTGCCGGGCCAAGGGGACAAAGTGGCTCCGGCTGACTGCCGGTGGACAGCTGGACCCTGGCCCGTGGTGGGGTGCAAGGAGCAAAGCCCCTGTCCCCTGGTGCTACCCCAAGGCAGGGAGGAAGAGGAGGGATGAGGCAGGGAGCTCAGTGCTGGGGACAGGCCAGCGGGGCTAGGGTGACAGGAGGACAGCATGGCTGCTTGGGTCCCCGGTGGCCCTTGCCCCGTAGCGGTGCAGGGGGTGGGATGGGGTCGGGCCCTTACAGCTGCGCTGAGCTGGGCAGCCTGGCTCCGGCCTGGGCACCGCCGGGTGCTGGCAGCAGGCATCTCCGCTTTCGGTGGCTATTTTCAGGTGCTGGAGAGAAGCCGAAGAGCGATGAGATTGTCACCAAGGAGACCAGAGAAACAGGGCCCGGCGCCGGGCAGCGGGGAGGGAAGGGCTTTCTGCAAGCCTCGGGGGACATAGCCCAAAGCGGCTCAGGGGACACAAGCCGTCCCTCCCCTGCTGCAGCGCTGGGCTGCTCTGTCCCCCTTGGTTAATCATCCGTGGGAGAGACCCCAGGATGTAAAGCAAACCCCAGACCCCAGCGACTAGGCTGGAAGCTGCTCCCCCGTGCAGGGGGGCAGGCGTCCCTGCCGTGGGGCAGCAGGAACAGCCCCCGGCTCCGGGAAGGACAGAGGAACGGCGGGGTGGTGGCACAAACCCTACCTGCACCGGAGCCCGGCGGAGTGCGGGGAGAGCCGAGCTGCCCCACGGACCTGAACGGACCAGGGAAATGGAGGCAGATGGAGGCCAGGAGAGCAGCTGAGTGCTAAACTTTTATAGAAATCCTTGAGAAACAAAGGGAAAATAGAGAGCAGAGCCCAGGAGAAGAGCACCAGCCTGCAGTCCCCGCACACACAGTGCGGGTCACCCGCAAGAGCCGACAGCCTCCCGAGGATGCTCCCTCCCTGGCAGCCCAACTGTCCCCACGACAAACCAGAGCCACACCGGTACCCGTGGTCTCTCTCAAGCAGTGTCATGCAAGCCCAAGCTTTCCTCCAGGCCCTGAGGCTGGGGGCGGGCAGGATGCTGGCACAGGCGTTCAGAAGGAATGAAATGGGTCAGCTGAAAGTCCTGAGCCTTGCTCCTTCCGGAGGAGCAGGGTGGTGGCTGGGGACTTTTCTCCATGGGACAGGCTGCAGGAGGAGACTCGGCTCCCAGTGGCTCAGGACAAGGGCACTGAGACACAGGCGAGCAAGGGCTCAGCCCGTGCTGGTCGGGGACAGGGAGGCCAGGCTAACTCCAAGCTCAGCCAGCTCCCACACAGCAAAGAAACCACCACCACCACCACGTCAGGCTTTAAGAGCAGCCTGGGACAAAGGCCAGACAAACTCAACTTCCCCAGGCTTTGCCATTTGTTTTAAAAACAGAAGTCACACAGCTCTCCCCTTTGCCCAGTAAAACATCCCTCTCTAAAAACAGCCCCACAGGCAAGTGTGCAGCGCAGGGGGCTCCTGCAGTCCTTGCTCTCCAGAGCCAGCTCCTGTCTCTTCCTTTGAGGTAGGTTGAGGTGTCCCTGCGGAGGGACGGCAGCTGCCTGGTCACATCACCAGGGCGGTGTCCGAGAGGCAGCCAGCAGGTTTCTGGTCAGCTCCACCAGTGCACTTGTTGAGAGGTAAGTTCTGAGTAGGGCTGGGCTCCAGGCATCTCGTGAGGTCTTCACTGGCTGAAGGGAGGAGTGTGCTGCAGGAGAAAGGAGACCCCGTGCTGCTTAGGGACACTGAAAAAGGATCAAAAGGGCCATGGTGCAACATTCGCCTGCGGTATCATCACACACGGGCTCAGACACGAGGCTGCCGGGCTCACCTACTCCATCCCCCACCCTGGGCTGCACCAGTCACCCCAACAGACATCCAAGACAGTGATGGGACTTTAGGGTCACAGCTTGATCTCCCCGGCTGCATGCAAACCCAACTCCATCCTGGCCTGGGCACAGGAGCAGGGATGCCCCTTCCCTTAACACCAAAGACCAGGGGTGTGCCTGCTCTCCACTTCGACTCACCCAGATGAACCCCCAGTCCTTCACCTCTGCAGGAGGCTGTCGGGGCCAGCAGCACCCATTTTTCAGCCCAGCTTTGCTCGGGGAAGCTGGCAGAGTGCAGCAGACCCGGAGGCCTCACTGCTCCCCCAGCCCCATGCTGCAGCTGAGAGCCTCTGCTCGCTGCTGGCCACATCAGAGCCCACAGAAGTAGTGCGGGTCCCCGTGGGGAACATCTTGTCAGCGTGTCCTGACCATGACAACCCCAAACATCACCCAGTTGGGCTGTTCGGGCCTCACTCCCATCTGAGCTGGGCACACAGTGCCAAAGAGACATGCCCAGTCGCACAGACGTCATGCCAGCCCCATCAGTTGGCTCTCCAGCGAGCGGGGGCTGGCTTCAGAGCCTGCAAGCCAACCTGTTCCTCTCCTCTTAAACAAAGCTGCTTTCCCTGCTGCCAGTTCTCTCTCGGGACACCAGTCCTAAAGCCACGCTGTGAACATCATGCACGTCACAGCCAGTGCAAACTCACCCCAGTCTCCCCAGTTCCAGTTTGCTGAAGCCATTTGATTGAACGCTACTCGTCTGAAGGAAGAAAGACTTTGGCAACAACCACTGCAGGAGGAAAGACAACCAAATGGTTATTTAAGTCATGGCAAAAATCCCTCAAGCCTGCTGGGCTCTGCTGTAGGCTGCCCTACTGCGCTTCAGCTTGAACTGCCTCACACTGCTGTTGCATCGTCACTGCCACCAGACTGTTCCCAGAATAGCAAACAGAGCAGTCTTTGCTCTCTGCTTAATGAATCCCTCTGCTGTAAGTGGGAGCAGAGCATCTCGAGGTGAAAAGAGTGGGTTTCTTTCAGCAGATCAGCCTGCTGTAAGGCACAGGAGTGACAGACAGAGATGGCTCCCTCACGGAAGGGAATAAAGGGTGGGCCAGGCGCCAAATATGCAGGGCTGTGCCCAGTGCACCCAAGGATATTCAGGTGCAAGGTACTTGCAGATCCGATATACTGGGTGGACTTCATGTTGGTGAGAGAAGCGTGGGTTTTCCCAGACTCCTGGAGGCCTTGGCTGAGAGGGAAGAAGAGGGCAAACAGGTAGGGCAGGAGCCACGGGAAGCAAAACAAGCAGGCTCTCTGCCCAAATCTGCCCAGGCAAACAACCACCTCTCCCTAGCTTACCCACAGCCATACGCACCGTCTGGGCCAAATCCATCCCTGCCCCAGTGTGGTACCCTTTGATGCACCAGTTCTTCAGTAGCTCCAGGCCTGGGAAGTGACAGAAAGACAAGCAGTGAGAATGAACGACCAAGTTTGCAGAGAGTTAAGCTTCCCAGCTTGGGGCGCGCAAACATGCTGCACGGAGTGAACTGACCGTGTAGTACATGCTATGCAATAACTGCTTGAACACGTGCCTGAGCCCCAGCAAACATGGGGTAAACCAAGGGCGTTCACCCTTTGTACGAGCAAACACCAGCGAGCGCCAGCATGTGGGCTGCCGCAGTGCCTGCCTTCCTCCCAGGGAGCCAGACGCACCGTGCGGCGGGCTCAGCTAAGCAGGGAAACTGGGGCAACACGGGATTTGCTGAATTAGACCAGACTGGCTGTCCCCCTGAGCCCAGTGCCTGCCAACGGCAGCACCTGATTTCAGCTGCACCGGTGAAAGTTCCTACAGTGCAAATGTAGAGCAGCTGTGCTGTCACCAGCCCCTTTCCCAGAGGAGGGCAGCTCAGGCAACCTCCTCCTTGCACAGCACCGATCAGCTGCAGCATCCCAGCACATCGTCTCCTCCCTGCACGGATCCATCCGGATCTGGACGTGAGGTGAGACCTGGTCGCCATCCCTGGCAGAGGGCAAGGCTGGCACAGACCGAGGTCACCGGTGGTGTGACTGGAAGGGACCATTCCTTCAGAAGCACACAAGACGTGCTGCTCCAGAGCATAGGGAGGTCATCTTGAAGCAGAGCCATGTGTCTGGCTGCACTGAACAGGCTCCATTTCCTCCAAGGCCTCCTCCTGCCTCCTGCTAGCTGTCCCCACTACAGCCAAGCTCCTTGTCCTCTACTAATCCAGAAGTCTTGAGAAAAACAGGACTGCTCCCTTCCTGTTTTCTTTAAGACCCTTAGAGCCACAGTGCAAGCTAAGGTGCCATGAGATTTAAGAACCAGCAGAGCAATGGCCAGGAACCTGATGCTGTCCAGCTGGGGTTACTGTGGTTTGCTATACGATACCAGCCCTGGCTATAGGAGGAATCCTTGCTGTCCAAACTCTGCTCCTCAGGACCTTGGAAAAAAACCCCACGTGTTGGGGGCTGAGGGGAGCAGGGCAGCTCGGCAGCCCTGCCCCGGCTCTGTGCACCAGCCTGGGCTTTGCACCTCGCTGGCCACGTTGAGAGGAGGGCTGCGCGGAACACACGTCAATGGGAAGGGGCCGGGGGAGGTTGGGTTTTGCTCAGAGGTGAAGAGCAATGAGGGGGTAGAGCAAATCTGCTCACTGGGCTGCATCAGGGAAGCGGGAGCACTGAACCAGGACCCCAGCCCGAGCGGGAAAGTTCAGGGCAGTGCTTCAGTGCGGACGATGACAGGATTTTTCTTCCAGCTGACAGGAGAGCATCCAGCAACGGTATTAGCGAGGCAAAGGATGACACATGCTGACAGCGCAGCTGGAGAGGGCTATGAGGTTACTGTCTCTCTGTGAAAGACTGTTACCAACCCCTTTGGAATTTGCATTAACACCAGTGAAAAGTGACAAAAGCATTTTTTTTTTTTTCTCTGCATGACAACCAGGCTAGGAGCACACATACGGTTGCCTCAGTAGAGGGCCGGCTGCTGTGGAAGCCTCTCCAGCTAGATCAGATGCTGAATGGAGATCCCTGAGCCACAGTCTCTTTCTTTTTATGTTCTCTAACCCCTCACGCTAGACCTCACTGGTTCTCTCTCCTAAATAGCCTCTACTGCTGCCCTGATGGAGACAGCCCTGGGTGAGAAGGAATTGGCCCAGCCCAGCTATGCCTCATTAAAGGACGTTTTTTATTAAAATACAGAGTTGTGTCCTGGAAAGGTGGAAATGATAGCTACATTTCTAGTGTTCAGGAAAAATTCCTCTGTGTGCACGCTGACAGTTTTTCATCCATTAGAAAGCAGCAGGAGACCAGGGAATAAGGCCCAATTTTTCCTTCACTCCACAGATCACCTGTAAGGAGCAAAGCCCAGCGACTCCAGCTCTTTCTCCCTCAAAAGAGGGCAGAGGAACACAATAAGAGGCCAGAGCTACAGGTTGATGGCAGAATCCCAGCCTACTTCAGCCCCACAGCACCTACAGAGCAGTCAGCACCTCTGATCAACTCAGAATAAGCTTTTTGTGATATCTGAAGCAGTATGGGGGGAGGTAACACATTTCCTATGGCTAGTGTGCAGGCAGGCAGTGCCCCCTCAACACGTGTAGCTCAGATGTCTCCCATGACCGCCAGCAGGCAGCCTGCCTGCCTCAGGTGACTGTGCCAGGCGCTCGGACGGCAGTTACCTTTGTGTTTATTCAAGTAGTATTTGAGCTCCCACTGGGTCACCAGGATGTTGAAGTAACGAGGCTGCTCAAAGAAACGCAGGTACCGCATGGAGATGTGGGTGGGGAACACCCGCTCGAACTGCCCGCGCCGGGAATACTCGTCCTCTGTCTCCACCAGGATGCGAACATCATCTGGGGTCAGGATGTCCAAGACAGAAGAATAAAAATCCTGCAGACAAGAGCAATCCAGGGTCAGGGAGAACTGAACTACGTTTTGTTGGGCCCCTTTTGCACCTCCCCACTCCTCAAACTCTCTCAGGCAGAGGTCTCCATGTGTCCAGGATCTTTGGGACCCAGATCACGTGGAAAATGAAGAAATTTAGGCTCAGTGGTGACATCAACGCTGCACAGAG